ACGGTTTTATGAGATGCAATCCCATTCTAGGCACATTCCATTTTCCTGGCACCTGAGCTTGGCTTAAGTTATGAAAAGAGAAAGCTATATATCAGTTTTGGTGGTCCTAGTTCGTACTGTTTAGGAGGAGCTGTTGAACAGACAGATACAGAGACAGACAAACTCAGATAAATACAAGATTGTTGGGGGACTTGGTCTAGTGCTTAGAATATCTTGGTGAGAGCCAGGAACTGCTGAGTTTTAATTCCAACTGACACTGATTCCCTCTGAGAACTTGAGCTGCACTTCTTTGCCTCCGTTTACTCACCTGTAAAATGGGGATAATACTTATTTACCTAGTTCACAATGACAAATTAGTTAATATTTGTAAAGCATGTCTAAACTCTAAGCCCTCTAAAAGTTGTTCAGAATTATGTGAAGCTAAGAAATAAATGTTGCTGTGTATGTTTCTTTTTCAATGAATATTTTTGATAAAAATTACTTTTGTCTATAAACTTAGCTAAGAAAAATATTTGAGTAAAAAAAGTTAAACTGCAATAATATAGGGAGAGAATTCTACTCCTAGGAATATAATTTACACTTTATTAGAGACAGTCCATCACTGCTAACCATCTTGACTGACTTTCACCAACAGAAATTGGTCCAGTGAAATATATTACCTCACCTATCTAGACTGCAAACTATGAAGTGCACTTGTGGGTTAAAAATTGTCATTTTAATGATAATTTTATCATCTCATCAAGTATGGTCATGCTTTCCTGAGTATACTCAATTAACACAGCTGGCCTCTTAGGATTTTGAGAATTAATTATATTCAGTTTGCAAGGCTGTCTTCTATGATATTGCTAATGTTGGTGGAGGAGTGAATGATATTCTGAAAGAGGGAATTGTACTGCATGTGACTGGCAGGATAACAGGAACAAAACTCACATTTGCTTTTTTTAAAATGAAATACAACTTTAAAAATGTGGCTTGAAATCCATGTCCCACTGAAGTCAATGACAAAACTCGCTGGGACCACAATTTCACTTGTAAAATTTTCTTGCTTTTCAGTATTCAGTGTGTTGAATGAGGGGAGGATTAAAGTAAAGGAAGAGGGTAGCAAAAATTGGTCCTAAGGACTCCATATGTTTGATGAAATATCTTTTTGAGACTAAAATGGGATGGAAAAGTTGAAAATTTCCAAAAATTAAAAATGTTTGGCCAATCTCCCCCCTCCTCTCAAAAAAGATTTAGAAATGCTACTGCCATGTCTTGTGGAAGTTGCACGCTCCTTATTCTCTTCTCTGGACTGGGCTCTCTGACTGTGCTACATCTTATCTGATGCACCACAGTTTTCCCTCATGCTGAACCACTGCAATGAATCATTAGAGTCCCTACCCACAATGCACTGCATTGGAATTTCTCAATGGATTTTTTTTTAAATTTGGGGATGATTGGTTTTTTCTATGCAAAGCAGTTTTGGAGAAAATAGTTTAAATGAACCTCCTATTTTCTGTCAAGAACCACATTTGATGGAAAATATTCAACCTTTCCAAATCGAGGCCAGTAATAGAGAGCTGGTGAATTCTGTAAATGGTGGAAAACAAAAAAGAAGATAAAACCATACTGTTCAACTGTCCAACAATTAACTAAATTCCACACATATGTTGATTGCTGAAAATAAAGACTCATGGGACTGAGGTTATCTAGAGAGTTAATTATGCTAAAGGAATAAATTTTATAACATTTTAATTTTCCTGCACAAATGATTTTTGTCTCTTATTTTGAAATTTTATTGCACATTACAATTGGCATTTTGCACACAACATGTTTCACACAGAATAGTACCATATAGTACAAGTCACATCATCTTCCTGAGGAAACACGAGAAAGGAAAACATATTTTTGTCTTAAGCTTTCTGCTCTTCAATTTTGTTTTGTACATCAATATGATGGTGATAGACATCCTATAAAAAGCAAAGATAGAATTTCCCTCAATGAAAAAGCTATTAGGGAACAACTTTTTACTTCGGCTGAAGGAAATTTGATAAAAGATTTAACCATCTTCCAGTACAATAACCCTAATAAGAGGACTGGCCCCCCAAGGTAAACATCAGGCGAGGCTGAGTGGATGGGATTGAAATGGCTGTTGCAACTGAGACTTTTAAAAGGCAAAATGCTAAACTGCATTATCATGCTCCATAAGTGTCTGCCCTTGCATAAGACAATAAAATACTTTATCACTGAACAGAGGTGCTGGAAGACAAGATACAAAGCCATGGTAATAGAGTTTGAGGATATGTGAATAAGAAGAGTGAGACATAGGTCTATCTTGGTGTGAATGGGATTCAGTAAACAAGGAAAAGGGAAAAGATAAGTTGTAGAAATAGCTTTTCTCTTTCCTTTTCCTTCACTAATAGAGCCCACAAACAGTTATGTAAAAACAGGTGCAAGAAATACTGATGTTGGCAATAATGGCTAAGAGTATGAGGAAAGAGGATAAGACTATTGGGGAGGAAATTAACAAAATATGCCATGTACACATGGCACGAGAACAAAACAAGATAGGTATAGGGCTTGCTCCTTAAAATAACCTGGCCACTGACAAAGTGCATGATATAAAGTAGAATGGAAGATGCATGTATCAGTGTAGGGTCAAACTTGCATATAAAGTGGTTATCACTTGGAGTCGTGGGATTTATAGTATACCTTCTACCTTGCCCCTACATGTGAGCCTGACCAGTATTGTCTAGTCTTAGCCTATGCTAATCAAGAAACCTGAGTGATGAGTCTAGAGTTGAGCTGAACCTTTCCAGGACCAAGAGGTTGAGGTCTCAAGAGAAATCCCAATGTAAACAGAACCTTCCTGGCATCTCTCCCACATCATGTACCTTAATGTCAAAGTACAAAAGGGAGGTTTTAGTACATGGTAGCAGGATCCATGTAACTGGTGCACAGCAGCCTAGTGTGGGGATAGATTTGCACCCCAAGTTGTCATTTATGTCATACATACAAGATCTTAGATTATAAACTCTTGGCAATGACCACATTTTATTCATCTGCAAAACAGATTTATGGAGCCAAACAAAATGTAAGCCAATTGCTGTATGTGGCCCTTTGTTGCCTCAGCTATTTAAAATTAAAATGTTTCATGGGTGAATCCTTGTTAAGCCTATCTCTGTATGAGTTCTAATCTCATAACTGCACATAATTGGCCCAAAAGGTCGAGAGCTTAAACAGATATGTTTAGTTCTGTTTCTGTTAATAAATAATAGGTGGTAAGTAATTACAGCAAAATAACTAGAACTAATGTTGTTTCCTTCAGTATATAAGAAAATATTTATTTGTAGGAAATTCTGATGGATAAATCTTAGTAAATTAAATTAATGCTTTTATGTAATGGTTTCTTGCTAAATTACGGACATGCAGATCAAAAAAATTCATATGACTCTCTTCTCCCACTAAATTTCTCTGGATATATGAGTGATCTGGAATTGGGTGGCAATTAGTTCTTGACAATTTGCTTAATTGGTTTGCAATTTGGGAAAAGTTCTGTTTAGCTTGTATTAGATACTATCTGTGTAACTAAGGCCTTTTCTTGTGCTTTCTTATGATTCATCTTAAAAATCCAAGGCTCTTACCTAATGCCCACATTCGCTGCTCAGAGGGCACGTCTATAATTAGGAGAAAATTGATGTGCTGGAGGTTGATCTTCTAGTGTTCGATTTAGCAAGTCTAATGTGTGAGGAGTAAGGAAAGCTGATGGGAGTGTATGCTCCTGTCGGACTCCTGCTGTGTGGACGCCACCATGGCTCGGCTTAAGATAAGTGGACTCCAGCTACACATTTTGCATAGCTGGAGTTGCAAACCTTAAGCTGATCTGCCTGGTCTAGTATAAAACAAGTCTAACTGAGTAGGAGTATACAGTTTTCCATCTTGGTGTCAGGTTCCCTGGTCTTGTTTGCACTGGAAAAAAAACCACGCTATGTTAGCCAAAATTTGGCCTTCTCATTTTTTCTAACATCAGATTATATTATTTTTTCTTGATTATGGAGAAGGACATGTGTTAGGTGGTTTAGGGTTAATCCTAGGATTCCCAGTAGTCTCAATTCCTATGGAACAAGCATCTCAGATGTCTCCAGAAATCCCTTGCATCCCTCAGAAATGATTTAATGTGATTTCACCATGTTCTGAAGTGCAATACTAAAATTCCACCACGCTGGATAATTACAAAAAAATTATATCACTAACAATGTTTTAATGTGAAAATAAAATAAGTGGAAAAAATCCCAACAAATCCTGGAGCTTGCTTTGTTTATGCTAATTCTTCTACACTTTCATGCTTTTCATTATACTCCACCTTCTTTGATTTATATTGGCCCATTCTCCTTGTACAGGGGTGTTTAACTTCATATTTTTTCTATGAAGTGACACCCGCTCTGATTAGCAGTACCATGGGATACAGTTTATTTTGCATAGGTTAAAACAGATGGATGAATTATTTATTATTTTAGACCCAGAGTTGTACCTGAAGGCTTAAAAAGTAAGTCTGTGACCTTTTCCCTTGCAGTAGTGTCCTTGCAGTATGTGTGCCCTGTTCTTTTGTCAGTCAACGGGAATAACTCACTTTGATTGGAGGGAACAATTTGTTGACCTGAATCTTGGGTTTGTTTAATTTACATTTTAATTTTTTTTCTTTTTTCTTTACCTTTTTTTTTTGTCACCACCAAAGCAAACTTTCAGTAACATTTTTATAGTGGAAAGCTTATTATATCATCTACATTTTTGAGCCTCTAAGGTGCTACAAGACTATTTGTTATTTAAGTTTTTTCAGTTGTAGACTAACATGCTACCCCTCTGAAAGTTTTTAAAAAGATCATTTAGCTCTACTCTTCTTCCATTTTAGTGGTTATTAACTTTTAAGTGCAATGTATATTTGCATGTTTTGTTTTATTTGGGGGGCTGATCTAAGATGCATTCTGTATCACTTTAAGCTAAGCAATCCTATTTCTTCTTAGAGCTGAAACACGAGATCCATGTTTGGAGACTAACAGCACAACGAATCAACCCCGCCAGTAGAGAAGAAACTGCCGTGAAATGCCTCTTAATGCAGAAAGTTTTGGCTCTGGAGATCTTGCTGAAGAACAAACTCAAAACATTCCATAAGTATGGCATGCACAAATGCACATCACTTTAATTTTGTAGGGTTTGTGAAATCCATAGTCCAATGGAATGAAGGACAATTTATTGGGGTGTATATGTGGGGCAATTTATGGAACTTTGCTATTAGCCTGGGCCGAAGGGCTTGCAGCATTAGTGCTAGCTGTGCATAAGTTTAGGAGTGAAACCAGGCCTCACTGAAGTCAGTGACTTAACTGAGGCCAGGATTTTACATACAGATAAGAGAGTGAAGATCAGTGTGTTCTCTACCCTGGGACCAGTGCTGGATTCCTTGCCTTCTTCTGAACATCATGTGGGAATTGGAGAAGAGGAAGAGCCCTTCCTACACAGAACCCTTCCCAATGATGACTAAAGACTACATAAATAGCCAAAAGGTGTTTGATCAATGTAAGGAGGCCAAATTGGCTTTTCAGGGCTGCAAATATATGGTAATGGGCTCCAGAACATCTACTATCAGGTAGTTTTCACCTGAAGGCTTAAAAAGTAAGTCTGTGACCTTTTCCCTTGCAGTAGTGTCCTTCTGAACATATAGTGTGACATGCTGCTAAATAATATTTTAAAATAAAATACTAATGTGTTCTTCAGTGAGTATGAGACTTTGGAAGGCATCCTACTAATGTATAAAATTATTGAATAGTAATATTAAAAAATACTATCAGCCAAAATATGACCCACAAATTCAATGTTGTGCTTATGGTGGGAAAAGCTTTTTTAAAACCTGAATCCAGCAAAAATGCTAACCCGAATTTTTGAAATATTCCAGTGAGAACCATTGCTAGTCATTTTAAAAGTTGCCCTGTAGAATTTGAAACCTAAGTATTATAGGAGAGAGAACCTGATAGATAAATTGATGCTAAACGAACGTGAAACTGACTTGATTAATTTTAATTGTCCAAGCTGAATGAAATGTAGATAATTAAATAAAGGGCATGAAAAGGGACACGTAAATTGGATTTTAAAAATTATTTCAGTAACCTAAAGGGTTTTTCTTTATATCATATGAAGTTTACACTGGTAGGCTGTGTCTACACTGCACCCCTTTTCTGGAAAAGGGATGCAGATTAGGCACATCGTTCTTGCAAATGAAGCGGGGATTTTTGAAAAAAGGCTACTTTTTTTCGAAAATACCCTGTAGTCTAGACACACCATTAGTATGCATTATTACAAATAAGAGAATGCTCTGAATGTTAGAAGAACTACAGGACCTATTCCAATACTATATTAAGATGATTGTGGCAGAACTCTAATTTCATATCTACAGCAAATGTGTGCTTTTCTTTCAGGCAAATTTCACAAGAAGATAAAAATTGGGAAACAAATATTCAGGAACTCCAAAAAAAGGTAAATAAATGGCAGATATACTAAATTTCAGAAGAACTTGCTTTCTGATTTGGTACATAAATAATATTTTGAAGTAAATCCAAGCAGAAAAAGCAGGAACCAATTCTATGCACTTATCAAATATTCTACATGCAGGGGAAAAAAAGCTGGATTCTGAATGGGATAGAAATAAGGTAGTACATTCTAATGTTAAGGATTATTTTAACATTTCCTGTGTTTATTTTTACCTACAATATACTTGATATATATATATATATACTCTATTCCTCCTGAACTGCCAGATATGTACCTGCAACCTTACATTTGTTTAATGATGGGTTTTGGTCACACTTTATACTGCGTTTTCATTTATAAATATTTTTAATGAAAGTATCAATACATGATTAATTAGTGTTTTAATAAATTGCTTATCCATTGTTATAGATTCTAACAGTTGAATAGTTTTTAGATTTTTAAACCAGGATAGAACATAGGACCATACAGCGGAAACTAGAGAGGGTGGGAAAGAGGATTGGGACTGGAGATGAGAATATGGATTTTGGAGAAAAAGAGGGGTCAGGAAAGGAGACAGGAATTAGGCAGAAAATGGAGGCTAGAATGTTAAATAAAGGGAAAGAATCAAATCTGCAGATTAGGGTCTAAGATTTTTTAGCAGAATTCAACAGAAAGCCTTAATTTCTTTCTGTTCCATGGAATCACTACTGCATTGAGTCTCTGCTAGTGTTCCCATTGAAAGAAGGTTAAGAAGAAATGTGAACACTTGGAGCAGTCATGACTGCAGATTCCTGCTCTTCACATTTGTGTCAAGAGACTTAAATCTATAGTTGCCTATGCTAAACTTGGCATTGCTTGGATCCTTGCCTCAAATAAGTTTTGTTTTTCTTCATTTAAATGATTGTTCTGAGGTGAGGCTGGGATGATGCATTCAGTATGCAGGCTGCCCCGGGGAGAGAGGACAACTCCAGCCTTCTCTTACCGCAGCAGCTTGGGTCCATGGCTGTCCATGGCTGCTGAGGCTGCAGCAGGCACAGCCCAGAGAGGAGTACATGTCTTCCGGTTGGGGGATGGACAAACACACAGACAAACTCTCTGAAATATATAGTAGATAGCTGTCCCTTTCTCCACCCTGCTGGCCCAGTGGGGTTATAGCTGCCCAGGTCCCCATCTCTGGCCCTTCTGTGTTCAGTCTGCAGTATAACTCCTCCTGCCAGATCTCCTCCCTTTGTATTTTATGAGAAACAATTTAATTCCAGGCATATTCCACTGTCCTGGCACAACCAAACCCTTACCTTGCTTTGTGATGAGAGGATACTGGTGATCCTTTACTGTTTAGGAGGAATTATTGAACAAGCAGACTCATAGACAGACACACACATTTCTAAAATATATAGTAAGATGATGAAACTATTTTAAAATTGCTTTCCTTTATTATCAATTACATACAAAAGAAATAGGAAAATTGTAGCTAATTTCAAAATGTGTTTGTTTTTTTAAAATAGCATTGGTTTTACATTATTTTCTTCTTTTTCCCAAGGAGAAACTTTACCTCAATTTAAGATTTTTAATTGTTGCTTCCTGTATCAGCTTTTCTTTACAGCAAGAGATTTAGGCTTTAGAAATACATGCAGGATTGAAAGTATGTACAAAAATAGTTTCTTCTGTAACATGGTTGCTGAATGTTTTCCTACCCACAGCACAGAATAACAGACAAAATACTTCTCATCAAATGCCTGACTGTGCTGGGATTTGTTATCCTGATGTTCTTTCTCAATTCATTTGTTCCAGGCATTCACCTCGATCTTGGTGAGTCTGATTTCTCTGCTTTATCACACTGATAGACTTAGAGCAAAAATGTTACAGTTGAGTTTGGATCTGTTCACAAGGTCCTTTTTTTTCTGTACTGTATATTTCCACATAGTCCTATACACTGATCAAACCAGCAATTCCCCCGATTAAGTTCTCAAAATCCATGCATGTCCTGATCAAATCAGTAGTTATGGGTATACAGTACTGGTGACTCCCATTCTCTGATCCTCCTTCTCTTGGTGAAAAAGGAGTACTATATCAGAGGGGTCAAAGGTGAGTAGGGCTTTCACCTCCATGAGACAACTATGTCACAGTGGAACAGTGTTCCTGGTCGTGTTTCAGAATGGTTGGAGGGTGCAGCTTATGGCAGGGCCTGACAGGCAGGATTTCTGTTTCAGCATACTGGCAGTTTTATGTCTGAAGGAAAGATTCACTGACCCCTGATAGTAAAGTGTACCCTAGCTCTGAGAAACAGAAAGATATCAGAGCTTATAATGTTTCTATGCCAGTCAGTACATGTTTTCTGATCAGCTATGAATTCTCCAATTTTCCAATTCATGTTCTTGCAGCACTTATTAATAGCTTTCAGTTTGCCTTTGAGCAAATTTGGACCAAATCACAGATTTGTGTTCAGGGGAAGGAATAGTGTGGCTGAGCGTGTGCATAATTGCCCCCAAAGACATGTACACCAAGAGTAAGACCCAGGTTATTTCCACTTCAGTGAATTGCCACAATATCTGGTAGATTATGACTTCTTAAGTTAATGGTTAGATGCTGTGGCATTGTCAAAACATGATGCCAATTAAAGTCAGCTGGTAATCGACAATTGCCATATCATGGTGTGTTCCTTGCTGTTCTTCAAACTTCTTCAACCTTGTTATTCAGGAATCACCCAGAATTTGCACGTTGCCAGCCCTGCAATGCACGTATATCTTTTCAATCTGTGGTCAAGATAGCTGTGTCCAAATCTTCATGCTACATACCTATGAAAGTGCTAGATCAATCTACCTCCAAATCAGGAAGTAGCCCTTTCCCCCCATCTTGGGACTAGTAAAATACACATATTCTGAAATAACCAATCTAAGGCTAGCTTATAACCAATGTTCCCTCAAAGTTTTTCCATTTGCATGCAGAATAAATTTGTATGTACACTGAGGCATGTGCGAATGTGTACCACCAGTAGAAAAAACCTCAGAGCTGAGAATGCTCTGCTAATCAGCTGGATAGCATTTGAATCTCTTCTGAGAAGCTACTCAGCTTACAGGAAACACTGCTTATCACCCATCCTCAGTCACAGCCCCACTCTCTCTCCCATGCCACTACCTCCCACTAGGCCCTCTGCCTCTGCCTCCTTCCCACTCCATATAAATGTTAGGTCATCTGCTTGCTGTTCTGCTGCATTCACAGTAAACTCCCCATAAAAATAAGAACACACTATAAAGGAGAAAACTTGTATTAATGTGAACTCTGAATTGTTTACTGCACAGCTGTACAACAGTTCAGACTAGAAAGATCAACGGCAAATTGTTCACTGGAGCAAGGGTGCTGAACTAACCAGGGGAGCATGAAGTGGCTGCATAGAAATCTCAATATTTCTTTTAGTGGCTTATGCACACTGTAATCCTCCCAGACTGCACAGCTATGCAAACAAAGAAGTGAACATTTTCTTAAACGCAATTTGGGTGGCTCAAATGTACAACCTTGTGTAAAAATGGAGTGCTTTAGACTACCTTGAGCTGCATCACAGCAATTGTTTTCTCTCTAGTTTTGCACACAAACCAACTAGTCAACTCCACATTTCTAGAAACTTTCTGAAAATGGCTTTTTAGGGGGCTGATTTCTCCAGAACTCCTGCCTCAGATGACCCTAAATTTGTGTCACTAATCCTACTCTGTTTTTCCAGGAGGCAAATCAAATTTTAAGAAAATCTGAAAGAATGTGGATTTTAGAGCAGTTAGAAACAGGATAGAGGGATGATGGAGGGAAAGGTGTCCTGTGGCATAGGAGGTGCTGAAAGTAGTGAATTCATTCATCTTTGTGTGATGGTGTCAGATGAATGACATCACCGCTTGGTGATGAGTATAACCTGAAACAATAGCTCTGAGATGAGTGAACTGCTCCATTCATCTCAGTGTGTGTCCCCACGCCCCCCACGAGTGTTTAGGGCCTGGGATAGACATAAAGATCCCCACCCAAAGGAGCAAGACTTCCCCAGATCTTGTAGCAGGGAGGGAGCCCCAAACCATCCCAATAGGCTCCTCAAATTGGCTATCACAAGAAGTAAAGATGGGGTGTCCAACCTCTGAAAGTGGAAATGGGACCCACTTGACCCTGGGGCACACACAGAGAGAAGGCAGTGAGAGAGGCTCAAATCAGGAAGGGGGGACCCCCCTTTTTATACCTTAGATCACATGAGTAGGAGGATGGCCTGCTCAGATCCCCCTAGACCCTCTCACCTTCCCTCCCTTAAGCCTCTCACCCCAGATATAAGCACATTAGAGGGGACTCGATGTCAGTCTATATTCACTCCCACATTCATCTTCCTAATGTCCCACCTCACCAGCCCCACTAGTTTTCATAACTTAGCTCCAAATATCTTTTCATTTCTGTATTCTCCACCCCTATTTATCTCGTCTCATGATTTGCTCTCTTTGCTACAGCCCCCAACCCTTCTCTTCCCCTACTCTGCTGCCCCTTACTGGCCCTTGCGGGAAGCTTGTCTAATATTTTTGTCTGCAAAATATTTTGATTGCATTCTCTGCCAAATAGAATTCTTCCACAGACCTGGCTACTGCCTCTTGAGGAGGTATATTATGTACAGTGATGGGGGAACCCCTCTCATTGTTAAAGTCTTCCCTGCAGTACTGCTACAGTGATGCAGAAGTGCCTCGGTAGCAGTTTTAGTGCAGACCTATCCTTAGGCCAAAAGTTTTTATCTTAAGGGCTTGTAATTAGTTTGCCCTTAGGCCATGTCTAGACTACAGAATTATGTTGTGTAAACTTATGTCAGCATACTGTCATCACAGTTATTAAATCATTGTGCGTGTGCATGCTTGGGTCCTTGTGTCACTGGTGTGTGTCCTCAACAGGAGAATTTGTATTGACTGAATTGTCAGTGTGGGGTAAGGTTCCCTCTAAGCTGCACAGCAGCACGGCTCTGCAGCTGCTTAATGAGCTCTGCCCAGCCAGGGACCCAGGACTCACACCCAGAACTGCAGGGCTGGGGGAAGAGCACTTCTCTCTCAGCTCTATCAGCAGCTCCCTGCTGAGGACAGAGCAGTGAGTCTCTCCCAGCCTGTAGGGACATGTCCCTTCCCAACCAGCTGGGACCACTGAGGGAGAGGTGCCCCTCCCTCAGACAAATAGCTCTGTGCAGGGAGTCCTGAGCCCCTGGCTGGGCAGGGCTCATTAAGTAGCTGCGGGGCTGTGCTACCACATAGCTTAGGGGGAATCTTGGTGTGGGGCATTGCGAGAGCTCCTGGAAGCTACTAGCAATTGACTAAAGCAATGCAGTGTCGACCTGCCCTGTATTGACCTGCCACTCGAGGAGGTGATGTTACTAAATTGGTGTGGAGAGTCTCTTATGTCGACAGGAGCCAAATTTAAGTGAAGAGTCTTCTACAGGTGGGTCAACAGAAAGCAGGTTACATCAGTATAACTGTATAGCGTACACTATAGTTTAGTTATGTTAATTGAAGGATGAATTCACAGCCAACAACCTTAATGAGGTCTGTGATTCATTCACTCATTCGTACCTCTCTGTTTAACAGAGTGAGGCAGCACAAGGGGGAAAGAAAAAACCCTTTTGTGGAGGGGACACGTAATTTGGATACCAAATGATCCCAGATTTGGTTCACTAACACTAACCATCTTCCCATTTGGCACACCACATTTCAAAGTAAGCTGGATTTTGGACCACTTACATGCGTCAAGCTTTAAAGCATGTAAGATGCCAGAAATGGAGACCCTCTACCTGTTTTCTTTTATTGGCACAGTAAAATGTACATTTATGTAATTACTCATCTCAGTTTGAGTCCTCTGAAGATTTAGTGGTACCTTGCACTCCCTCCGTTAAAGCTAAGACAGACTATTTTATGGGTTTACATCTCTCCAACCCCTATCTGACCCTTCCGAGGTACACCAAATTGCTAAGGAATCTGAGTGACCTTATTTATTTTAGAGAACTTAGAAATGTCGACCTGGATACAGAAGTCATGACACAACCTTAACTCTTATTGTGCTCCTATACCACTATAGTTAGTGTTAATGGAAACCACAAGCTCACACTCCTAGGACTTGTTGAATACTCCTGAACTGCGCTATCAGTTACATATTATTGTTACAGAACATTTGCTACTGTGATTCTCCATGGATTTTCAGTTCTCCAGTGTTTGGAAATAATTTTCACAAAATACAGCATATCTTATACTCTAATGTTTTTGTTAAAGTTGTGCAATGTTTTTCTTCATAAAATGGAAAATGGATCATAGATCAGTGTGTAAATTTCCTGCAGAAAAATGTGTTATGTAAAGATTGGAGTGTTCGCAATCTGATAACTTTTAATTATATTTGATTGCGTGAATCAGAAAGATTATAGAATTCTTTATCAATCCCTAGCCTTGATATAATTTTTCCATTATGAATTTGGATTCACTAAGATAATTTGCAAGGGCTAATGTTTTAATTTAAACAATAAAATCAGCATATTTAACAGCCTTCTTAAATTCCGGCTGCCTTCCTGTTCAATTTTCTTATATCCCTTCATTAATTTACCTAGTTCTATTTATATGCAAATACATATGTTAATGTAGTGTTAAAGCTGGGACTTTAAACAAATAGAAAATTGAGAGTGAAGATTCTCACAACAGTCTTCACTCTGCTTCTTCTATATTTGATTTATAATGTAACTTCTGTTACATTCTACTGATTAAGCATTCCAGGGAAGATATTCATTTCCCTAAATGAGTGTACAGTGCCTAGCACAAACATTTTTTACT